GATGTTTTTTGTACTTAAAACTGCCATAACTTTTTCAAAAATGAACAAATAAAAATAATATTTTTTTGTATTGAAAACCTTAGATATTACCTTTCATTTGATATCATTTTTTTTGAAAATCTAACACTTAACCTGCTCATTGGGGGAGATTTAAAATAGCAACTTTTTTACAAAAACTAACTTTTTCAACTTAATTTTTGAAAATGTTCCGGAAATACTGCGTCCTTTAAACATATATCAAATTAAAGCTTATTTTATGTACTATAAAATGAAAAAAAAAAATTTGTCCCGACATCTTATCTTCTATGTGCAAATGGCTGTCGAAAATTTAAAAAAAAATGTAATGTTTGCGATAAAAATGACCTTTTATCGGGATGTTTTTTGTACTTAAAACTGCCATAACTTTTTCAAAAATGAACAAATAAAAATAATATTTTTTTGTATTGAAACCTTAGATATTTCCCTTTCATTTGATATAATTTTTTTTGAAAATCTAACACTTATTCTGCTCACTGAGTGGATTTAAAATAGTAACTTTTTTACAAAAAATAACTTTTTCAACTTAATTTTTGAAAATGTTCCGGAAATACTGCGTCCTTTAAACATATATAAAATTAAAGCTTATTTTATGTACTACAAAATGAAAAAAAAAAATTTGTCCCGACGACCTATCTTCTATACGCAAATGGCTACCATATTCAAAAATATGCTATTTTTGTATGAAAATTATGGGTTTTGTATTTTATTTTAATAGAAGTTGATGTTGCTTTTGCAATTATCCAACAATTTTTTAAAATTAAACACTATCTACAGATTTGCATCGAAGCGTTTCTTATGATAGTGATTTTAATCACTGTCAGATTAAATCTATACTGAACCCAACTATGCAATGTCTGTGATTTATTTTAGTCAATTATATTTTTTTATTTATCAGTTAATTGTGACTTTTTAAAATCATTCCTTATAACTTAAAGGGGTGTCTACTTTATTTTTTTCAATGGCAACGTACTTATTTAATTATCTTATAAGATATAAAGAATAAAATAGAAAATTATCTAATTAATAAATGACTGGTCAATAACACTTATTGAACCAGAACTTCTGAATTTTCTCTCATTTTTATAACTAAGTAGGACGAAGAGTACGGCTAGGAAATGACTAGAATAAATCAAGAAATATATGTAGCCAAAAAGATAAATCGGTTTATGATAAATTGATCATTCTAATAGGTGATATAGTTTAGTAAGGACGGTAAACCACAAGTTTTGTTGATTTTTTTATAAAAGTAATTTTTAATTCGTACCAATAGATATTTCCTTTAATAAAGATTCACAAGCAGAAGTTTTTTCAGCCATTAAAACTTGTTGCTCTTCTAATTCTTTATTAAGAATCACTAATTGTACCTCAGCTTCGTCAATTTTTCGTAAACCTACTAGGAGTCTCTCACACTATAATAATATTAATATTGAAAATGTATTTTTTTTTATTTATAATTATCAATTCAAATTCATACTTGTTGTGTGATATTGCTATCTCGTTCATCGATTAATTGTAAATACAAAGTAATGAAATCTAAATAATGTTTTGGAGTTAGGTAAAGTTTTCGTCTAAGTTTTAATTGGAAATCCAAAGTATATCTACTCATGCTTTGATGAATGTACATCACATGATTTAGTATATTTATTCTATTTTCTTCGGTTATTTTCGGTGCCTATTATTGATAAAAACATTTATATTAAACATGAATTTTAATTTCTAAATTTTTACTTTAGCTAGAAATGACTCTGCAACAGCATATAAAGCTTGAACGGGCCACGCAAATATCCAATTAATACATGTATTGTTTACCAAACCAGGAAAATTTCTGCATCTTATTCTAAGCTCATCTCCAGGAGACATAGAAAGAACTACATGTAGATTATTGACGCATGTTTTTAAATAATACTTCCAACAAGAATCTCTGTATATAACGATAAATAATAATATATATTAATTTAAGTTATACATTAAATATTAACTTAGCATTCCCATAACCAGCTACATTAGCATCTTTTCTGACTTGGTTTATAATACCATCTTTTTCCTCTTCAGTAAACAAAGCTGGTACTATTCCAATTGTTAAAATATTATTGATAATTTCTAAAAAACCTATCGATACACTTAATTAAAAATTTATCATTTAAAAGAATTATTTAAAATGTGGTTACCTTCTTCAACGATTTGTGATTGATTAAAAAAAAATACTGATTGCTTTTTGTCGACACCCAACATCAAAAATAATTTTTTAATGTCATCTCTAAACGTAATTTCATTATAACCTCTATTTAATAATATTGAAAACATTTCACATCCTAACATTTTTAACAAAATTACCTATTTTGAAATCATTTTAAATGTAAGTAAAAATTAATTATTACCTGCAGTAAACGCTGCTAATTTAGTCATGAGAGCTTTGCCACTACCACCAACACCGACAAGCATAGTGTGGCCTCTATCCATTCTTAGTACTCTATGAATTCTAGTTAAATGTTCTAAAGCCATTTCAAACAATACTATATCAATTTTTGTATTTTTTTCGTTATATTCAACCAAAATCTAATACATGTAATTGTTCACATAAATAGTTTTAATTTTATTTAAATATATTAATTACATCTTGAAAAATATTTAATATGACGTGGTATTCTTTGTAATCTTCATATAACCTAACTTCCTCTCTATCCAGAGAATTTTTATAGTCACCGAATAGTAAAGGGTTTTTTAGTATTTCTTCAATATTATCTGGATAGAATTGTTCTAAAGCTTCTCTAATGCGCTTTGTCATTAAATCTTGATCCTAGAAAGTGAAATTTTGAACAATTAAAAATTACAAAATAATTAAATTAAATTAAGGAGTTAAATTGTTACCGTAAGATTATTTAATCTATCACAAATTACGCGACTAAATTCATTTCGCCACACTCTAATGAAATAATATATATTATTGAAAATTATTGGGCTAGTTAGTAGCAATCCACACGTTATTCGACTGAGATCTCGGAGGTTAAAAATATAATGAAATTTGCTAGGAGTTGGTGGAAGTTCAACTAAAATTGTCTAAAAAATTATGTAAAATTTATTACTTTATTTTAAAGTAAGATTTTTATTTTACCTTGTATAGCTGAAATGTCATTTTTAGTATATTTGAAACGCTTTCTTTTATTTCTACGGCAAAATCTTGTGTATGTCCTATAAGAATTGATCGGTAAATGTGGTCAATTGTCTCACTTGAAGGCGATGACATGCAATACACCGAAAACATTGACATAAATCTAGGATCAACTTCATTGCGGCCACCCCCAGCTTTCCCCATAGCAGCATAAAAATCTATGTAATTAAATTAATAATTTTTAAAACACATTATACAGAAAATTTTTACATATATCTATTAAAGTTCTCCAATTTAATTCTTTTCCGCGATCGTACATTCCTCCACGTTCTAATAAAAGTTTTAATAACGCTATTGGTTGTTGTGTGCCATACGTGTCAACTTGAGGCATATTCATATTATCAATAAAGCAAATTAATTTTTTCCCAATTGGGGGTCCATAAATATCTTTTGTACGCTTATCTACGTTGGCTTCAATATTTTTCTGTACATCTAAAGAAGTAGTTCTGGATGAGAAATTCAAATTGGTTTGTATCTAAAAAGTATAAAATTAGTATTTTTTAAAATATTAAAATTATATACACAATCATTACATATCGAGATGGATTTAAAGTTCTAAGAAAGTTTTGCATTGTTGCAGTTTTAGATGTGCCCGTTTCTCCAACTAAAATCACTGGACGTTTTACATCATTCATTAAACCTAAGAGCCACGTAATACGAGTTGAATCTACTGTAGGTACAAGTATCTCACTAAATCTAGCATTAGCGTTGTGTTCATAAGGAGCTACTATAGTATTCCATGGAATCCAAAGTTCTTGTTTTGTATCTAAATAATAATCATACCACGTTTCCTCATGTGTTGGAATGAATTCTGAAGTACAAACATTAAGAGTTTTAAATATTACTAAACACTTAAATAATATACAGGGTGCAAGCAGGTCATAGATGAGTACAGATCGTACTGGTGTATATTTAAAGTGCATACTCCACCCATGTTCTACAGAGTGATTGTTTATAAATTATTATAATTATAATTATTATTATTATTAGATTATACATTACTATTCATTATAGACACTTATTTTGCGGAAATTATTAAAAAATTTTAATTTTTATGGAAAACATTGTTTGGTTCAAAAACTCTTCAATAAGATGTAGTAAAATATTTTTTTTTTCAATCCATTCAGGGATAAAAAACTTTAACATTAATTTTCTTAAATGAAAACCTCTATTTTTAACTTAATAATAGATAAAAATCAGCACAGTGGGGTCGCGGCACAGTGGAGACATGTCATAGTTGGGTCAAGTATAGATTTAATCTGACAGTAATTAAAATCACTAGAATAAAAAACGCTTCGATGCAAATCTGTAGATAGTATTTAATTTTAAAAAATTGATGGATTACAAGTTTTATGATTTATAAGTGTAATATATTTATAATATATAAAGGGAAATGGTTTTATTAAAAAAAAAAAGTATGTCGAATAAAAGAGGTATATAAATAATATTTCTCATGAAAAAATTGTATTGATCCATACATTTTTCAAAAAGTTATTTTAGAGTTAAAAATTTTAAATATAAATTCGAGAATTTTAACACAAAAAGTGTTTTTAGACCCGAAATTTATTAAATGTCATATAATGTTGAATAATCAGCGCGGAAAAAACTACCATAAAAGCGATTAATGGCCCATTGAAACTGATTATTTTTGACCATGGTATTCCAAAAACTAAAATAGTAATGAGTTTCAATTTTGAATACAAATCTTTAAACAATTTAAAAAAAAGAATGGTTGATCGGATAAAATAATCATAAGATTAAAATAGTTTGTACATTTTTCTTTTAATCATATTATTAAAGTGTATATAGAGTTTTCCATTTTAGAAAATTATTATTAAGATTTTTACTCTGGAAGGGATAAAAAAAATATTTTCTAAAATATTAATAAAATAGAATACTAATAAAATTTTCTTCTTAAGAACGTGTCGCTGATAAAATTCTGGTTGATACTCCCTTAAGAACTAACTTAAAGCATGACTGAACTCTAGAGCTTTCCAATCACCAGTATATCAAACAGTATATAAAACCCAACCCAACAGTATGAAAAGCACATTCTTAAGTTGTTTATGTTATTATCAAACATAACACAACTTTAACACTAACATTTTATCTTATAATGTTTACAATTTTAACAAATTATTTGTCAGGTGACACCACAAATTAAAAAATATATTAAAAGATCTTTTTTAATTACTTGAGTGCAATTAAAAATTTTTATAATTATTTATATTATTATATTATTATATATTATATGATTTATAATTATAATATTTATAAAAGTACAATATTATATGCCTATCAATACAATAATCTATCTCGAAAATATGACATTTAGAGATAAACGAATTCAAAGTTTTGTCCTTTTATAATGAGCTATGATGTGTATAAATATTTTTTTATTTAAAATAAAAACATGTTGAATTTAAAAGATAGAAAATAATAAACTAAATTTAATTATTTCAAAATGTCAAAAACTTTGTTATATGTCCTTATTATATTAATAATACAATATCATTAATTCTCTTGATACCTAGGTCAATTTAATAAAGTGTATATTTATGGCCAATATTAAAAGTAAGCCATCCATTCTAAATAGCATATTTTTCTAATAGCAGTTAGTGGTTTAATAGAAATTTAGTTTTTAATTTTGAAAATAAAATACATACTATACGAAGCTCTTTTATCAGGTAAGTCATCTATAGCTATTAAGCCCGAAGTTTTTTTGACTAAAGCGTCAAATATTAGTCTACCATTTCCTTCTAATGTTGCACCCAAAGAGGCGTACAAAGATGAAATAAAAATTGCTTCTAGTTCGTCGGATATGCGTACTTCAGATAGTAAATTTGATGATATTTCAGTTATTACACTTTTTGGACTTTCTGTGAGATCTTCAACATTATTTTGTTTAGCAAAAGCATCTAACATATAACACATCTGTATTACCTATGATTTTATAAATCGTTAATTAATATTTTAATATTAATAATTATAATCGTGTATTAATATTTTTCTCGAATGGAATAAAATAACAGGAAACTACTATATTATGAACTTTTATCATAAAAATTCGAAATATTTTTTAAAACCATGATTTCGTTCTTTATGAAATTATAAAGTTAAAATTTATTTAACGAATATTACAATTTATTAAAAATATTCATTTGTTTTCTAACCATGTTTAATTTCGTTTGAGGTATAACAAGTTGTAATGGAATGAGTTCTTCAAATCCACTTTTTCCTTCTATAATTCGATCTAAAAGTAAATGTACATATTTTTCAAATAAAAAATTCAATGCTTCTCGTTCAGTATAATTTCTTTTTAGCAGATATCGATTCCAGTAAGGCATGTAACCAAGATTTTTTGGGTCTACATACACCATACCTGCTCGAGAAACAGTAGCTGGAGAAGCATACTTTAAATCACCAACCTGTGAATAAAAAAATATAATATTTTTTACAGTTATATTATCAGTTCCAAGTATTCATATCTATAAAACTAACTTCAAATAATAATGCACAATGTGGAAGTAATCGTATACGCTCCCCATTAGCTAATGTCAATAGTTTGTTATCATCCATCACCGAATTCATATTTTCTATCCATAACGCATCAACATCTCCATCAAACATTATGTATCTTCTTTCAGGTTTGTCATCTGGTATAGGTTTATTTATTTCTCTAAATATATTAGATAACAACCCATCTGTCCAATCCCTTGTAATTGGATCCAATACTCCATACAACTCGATTACAGAACAAGCCTAGGTGCATTATTTATTGAAAGGAGAACCCAATTCAGTCAAAAACCTAATACTATCGCAATAAAACATAGAGGCATTCTATATGAAAATATTATAGTGTTTAAAACTGCAATCAAAAACTGTTGTATGATAAAAGTATAAGACAATTACGTTTATAAATTTATTATTAAACAACAAATAGGAGTGTTATATCACACATTTATATTATATTTAAAACAATTATTTCATTTCAATCTTTACTTGTATAAAATTTATGTTAAATCACAAATTAATTAGGTTTCCACTTATAAAGTTTTTCTGTTAAAACTTTCAAAATAAATTGTTTTAGCTTCGATGCGAAGCTGAGAAGGTATTAATTTTACTATGGTGTTTTTTTTTTTTTTTTTTTTGTGAAAACTACTTTTTCTCAGCTCTTACTGGACCGATTTCTTTTAACAATACGTCAAAAGATCATAAATTATACTTCAAATTAACTTTTGAAAGTGTTCCAGAAATACTGACACTTTTATATAAATCTTAAATTAAAAATAATGTAATATACTTTATTATGGAAAAAAAAAATTTCGGACTTTATTTTATCTTCACGTTGAAAATGGCTACCGTATGCTATTTTTGTAGAAAAATATGTATTTTATTTTATTTTATTTTAAAATAACTTACAAAAGTTTTTTAGTTAGAAAAAAAATTTTAAATCATCTGATTTTAGCTCATATAAATTCATTAACTTTAATAAATATCAAGGACCCTGTCACTGTAGTCCCCACTCGTTTGAAGAAATTTCTTATTCATATTAAAATTTTTTTTCTATGTGATTTATTTTTATGGTTTTCATATATTAAACTAATAGACTCAATTAAGTAGATTTTTTTAACAACATTTTGATTAGTTTTTTTAGTTAAAGTAAATCATTAAAATTAATTATCTTCGGAATATATCATATGTAGAATATTTTTAATCGCTAAAAATTACTTAGAAATGATTACTATGATTTCTTTTTAAGTGATCTATTACAATAAAAATGCAAATACAATTTCCTGACTGCATATTAATCTTATCAATGGTATTTTTTTTATTTATTAATGAAAATTTCAAACTTGAAATTGAGCTTAAAGTTATGGCAACAAATTTAACTTTTTTTATTATATACTTTCAAAAAGTCAACGTCAAAATACCAAAAAAATAGGCTAATAATGATATTTGGCAATGCTTATTTTTAAAATATTAAAAAGGAAAATATGTAATAATAATTTCTATGTTATTCTTTGTGTTGAAATAGATTGAATAATAAATTATAATAATATCTTTTTTACTTTAATAAAAATATTTTCAGACCATTTATTTATAATTAACAACAAATTGTTATCTAAAAACATTTAAAAAGAAAAATTATCTGTGTCGAGCCCTTCAATTTTTATACACGTTTGCCATAAAAGTAAGAACTACTTTTTAATTTTTTATACATTCTCCGAAAAAATTACAATACTAATTTATTAAATATTAATTTCATATTACGTTGAATTGCTTTAATAGATATTTATTCAAAATTTATATTTATAAATCAACTACTAATTAGGAATAATGATAGAAATAGGAGTTAATTTTGCTTTTAGAATAATCAATCAAATTCTTAAAATTAAAGACTATCTACAGGTTTGCATCGAAGCGTTTTTTATGATAGTGATTTTAATCACTGTCAGATTAAATCTATACTGGACCCAACTATGCCACGTCCCCACTGTGTTCGGTACTTTTATTTTGAATGTATACAAATATTATTCAGCAAAGTATTATTTATGTAATATATTATATATTTTTATATTTTATGAAATAATGAAGAAAACTTATTTTTAAGTTAAAAAATTTAGAAGAAGAAGGATAGTTAGTGAAAGTATAATTTGATATCTGTTAGTGATTAACTGTTAGATATCATCTATACTGGACCCTTCTATACCACATCCACACTGTACCACACTGTAAAAAATTTATTAGATGACACTATTTATTTTGCTTTTAATTACAGTATTACGGAAAAATTTCTTTCATATCAGAAATTATATGAAACTTGCTAACCAAAACACTATAAACGTCCAACGTTCATATTCGAATCACTTAAATAATATAACCGGAATACGGTCTAAGATTTCATGACCGGTTTAAAAATATTTGAAAAATTATTCTAAAATAAATTTAAAATTATATAATTATTTTTAAATACCTTCGGATTTAAAGTATACAAATATGTTGGTAGTTTTAGAGCTGTCTGTGCACCTACTAATGTATTAATTAAAACAGATTTTCCTCCGCCTGTAGGGCCAACTATCATTGTAGAATGTCTGGTCATCATTGTTTCGTACACTTGAATAATTTTATCCACCTGAAAAGTACTCTACTACTAAGTATATAAATAAAGTATTTACATGAAACGCTTGTTTCATGTAAAAAAGTTAATAAAAGACTTTGTCCAGCTATAAACAAAATAATTTAAAAATGTGTTTATTTTTGTTTGCCAAAAAAAGTACACTGCAATGGAACAACATTTAAGTTCACTACATTACAGTCTTCGTCCAGCTAAGAATCCAGTTATCATTGAAAAATTTAAAAGTGAAATGAATGAAATAAAATATATTTTTGATGTGAGAATAATTTACTAGTTTTTTTATCACTAGTTTTTAGTCAAAAAGGTTATTAATCATTTTGAAAGGCTTTCTAATTTGCAAATTTGTAATAAAATTAGTGGACAGATAATTGTTTTATATTCTTTTCCTTAATATTTTATTAATTGACCTTAAATATTTTTCCAATTAATATCGGTTGTTATAATTATACTATTTTTATTTAGAGTGCTAAAAATTTTACACACTTACCTAAAGATCAACCTTCAATATCAGGAAAATTAATATTTGTTCAAGAATTACATCTTAGAGCAAAAAAAACAGCAATGCTACTTACTGACGTGATTCAATACGATGAAAGAATATCACAACAGGTTTAATTGAATATTTTATAAATATCTTTATAATTTTTAATAATGGTTTTATACCAATATATTATATTGTTTATTTAATATTTCTTTAGGATTTTTCAATTTATATTCGAGTATCTAAAGAACTATTTGAGTTTCAAACCAATGAGTTTAAAAAATGGATGAATTATGCTTTAGAAATTGAACAAAATAAAACAAGAGACACATTATTATTTTTTGATGAAAATACCAAAATATTTAAGTGTAAATTTGATGTATGAAAATAAATTACTGATTTAAGAAAAAGAATTTAGTATAATAATTTTAGAAAGAATTGTATGGTGTCATAGATGAAGCTGTACAAATGAATTTAATGGGATTTGATTTACCAGATAGTATAAAATACTTGATTATGCTATTAAAACAGATAAAAATTAATGTAACCAATATTGAATGTTTGGTTGAAAATGTTCGTGAATTGATAAATAAAATGAATATTTTTGAAGTATGCAGCTTTAATATAATATTATAAACAAACTAATTTAATTAAGTGTTTATTTTTGTTTGCCAAAAAAAGTACACTGCAATGAAACAACATTTAAGTTCACTACATTACAGTCTTCGTCCAGCTATGAATCGATATAGTTGTTTAACAATGAATTTATCTGAATTTACGAATAGTGCAATCCACCGAATAGCATATATGAGTACAGTTTTAAAAAGAATTAAATTGGTAAAGATTTGCAGCTAATTTAAAAATACTTTGTTTTTATTTAAAATAACTTTATTTAAAATAGGCAGAACAGAAAATTGTAAAAAATATAGATTCCTTGAAAGATTTAATATTTTTGCCAATCGGAACTAATGAAAATATTCAAGAATTTCTGGTAAATTACTAAAAATAGACCTATTATTAAATGAATAGCAAATCTAATAGTTGTTAAATATTTCTAAAAAAATTCATGCGTAGAAATGAATATTTTTAGATGCTTGTGCTTAACACTTTTTTAGTAATATTTTTTATCTTAACAATTACTTTTTAATTTACATTAAGGATAATATAATAATAAAAATTTGAATTCTTAAAATCAATAACTTATTATGAATGAGATCACGTGTAATAAATGTATATATCCCCAAAAAAGTAAAAATCTGCTTTGGAAAACAGTAATCGTTTTTCATATTCAATATTAATATGAATATATTATTTTATATTTAAATCGTAATATAATTTGACTAAACAATATATTTTTTAAAAATATCAAAAATAACTTCTTATAGAAATGTAATGTAAAATTATCAAATTAATTAATCGAATAATAATATAATGAAATAGAAAATATACGATCAAAATATTCTTTTCACTTATTCTCACATCATCATCGCTCGTTAAAACCCTCTTATCATCTCTTTTTATAATTTTTTTTTTCTTACTTTTACAAGTCTATATTCTTTTTTTTCACTTTCCTTTTTTCTATAACTCATAAGATAAAGTTTAAGAGGATTAAACTCGCCTTACTTACTCACACTGGGCTTCTTTGGATAAGCTTTTTGTACTCCATCAAATCTCCTCTTATTTTAAACTTTTAATTGCTTTTTCTTACTCTCTGTTTTCTGAACGCTCTTATCCCACCACCACATAACATGCCAGAATCATGGAAACCGTGATTCTGGTAGTTACTCCTACTCTCATCAACAATCTCCTTTGTGGCAGCAACTTTGTGTATGATTAAAAGACTAAAAGTTTTTGAACTACTGCACTTCTTTTTTCTTATTTTTCGGACGTTCTAATCGAATTTTATGTCCTACTCAAAAAATATCTTTATATTTATTTTGCAATTATAATTAAATTAAAAAAAAATAGTATTCTTAAATGTGACCATTCACTTCATTTTTTGAATAATTTATTATTTTTTTTATTAGAACTGTTGTCATATGGTGTGCCAAATATCTGAAGTTTTACGTTAAATATCACAAATATCATCTTGGGAATTATGTTCTCAAATTACAAATTTAAATATCTATTTCTTTTTACTTTGAAACCGACTATATTCAATTTTTTCTTCACTTAATATTTTAAACTAACGACAAAACTGATACATGATATATTTTTTTTACTTTATTTCGCAATTAGGTAATAGTTCTATGAATTGCTTTTTGTGTTTGCTTCTTGTACTATCAATTTGGTCATTAATTTTTTAACATCTTTAACACCACATACTATGATCGGTGGTGATTTATGAATTTTTGGGAAAGTTTTACCAATCATCTTGTTGTCATAACAGTCAATCATTGTTGATATTTTTATTTTTTAATTTATATTGAAATAACTATATAATAACTGGAGGTATTGAAAAGTGTACAATGATAATACTTCAGAAACTTGCCTTCCAGAAGAAATAATGTTTTTAAAACCCAATCATAAACCAAAATTTTGTGATGCTTAAATCTATACCAAAATGTTAATTTCAAATTTGGAGAACGTTCTAAAAAACCAACCTTCCTCTAAACCTACATTAAAGGTAATACAATGCATTGGATATGCAGTTACTAGAGGGTGTTTTGTTATATTTTTCTGTAATGATTGATAACGCCTGGCGTTTTATGCGATAAAACCCTCTTTAAGAATAAGTAAGATTATTTAAGAATAACGGTTTAAGAATAAGTAGAAGTAAGACAAAGTATATAGAGTATGAGTTTGATAAAGGAGAATACGAGGTAGGTGTAAAGAGAAGTTCAGTGACAATAGGTGAGAACGTGATTGAAGAGGTAGAAAGTTTTAAGTATTTAAGGTCAGTTGTGCAAAAGAGTGGTGGTATTAACGAGGATATAAGACATAGAATTAAGTGCGGTTGGTTGAAGTCTATAGAAGCGTCTGGCGTCTTCTGTGATAAAAGAATTCCGATAAGGCTGAAATGTAAATTCTATAATACTGTAGTGAGGCCAGCTATGATATATGGTTTCTGAGTGTTGGGTGGTTGATAAAAAAATAGAGTAGTGAATGAGTGTAATAGATTATCCGAAATTTTGATTTTTGTTAATTATTGGGCGTGAATTAAAGATAAAAATCGTACAATTTTCGGAAAAATGGCCAATTTCAAAATGTTTTGCGTAACAACGAAACATATATATACATTCAAAGTAAAATTAAATTTTTGAAGTACTATATGATAAAAAAAGTTAGACGTTTTGACGACTTTGTTTACCAAATTATTGAGAAAAGACAAAATCATCATACAATTTATTTTATTTTCAATTTCAATTAAATTTCAAGCAACGTATATTAAGATAAAAAAAAAAATGGAAAATTAACGAATTTTTTATTTTTAGGTGTTATAGGACCTTAAAACCAAAAATCATAAAAATTTTGGTAAAATTAATCAATTTTATAAAATCTTGCATGCAGAATTGTTTACATCGTTCCAAATTAATTTACATTTGAAATTTATTTAATATAACATATGATTAAATAAAGAAAAACGTACCAGTGTCTTATCATCTATGAGTAATAAATCTCTTAATTCAAAAACTATGTAACTTTCGGTAGATTTGATAAATTTATTTTTGATTTATTTCAAATACGCATCAAAATGTTTTATTTCAGTAATTTCAATAACTGACAGTTATTAACTATTACTAATCTAAAAAATATCTTAACTCCACTGAACTGGATCCTCCACTCTACTATATTTTAATATAAACACATTGACACTAAACATACATGTTTAAAATAGACACAATAACGAAACAAACATGTTTCTTGTTTAGCTATCAAATAACAACTATAATTCTTTAATAAACAAAGTAAAATTTCCACTAAATTTAAAGTTTTTATAGTGAATACTCTCCTTAAGAAATCCAATTTAAATGTAAAGGTATCAACTTGTCCCACCCTTCTCTACAATAATGACTATCTAAAGTATTTAGTTTAATAGTTATAATATTGTATTTATTGTTTGTATTATATAAATAAATATTAAAACTTACTTGATGAGGTAAACGCATATATGATTTCTTTTTAAGTTCATCGTCAACAGCTTTACTGAATTTGGGATACATTACCCTGGGGCAATCTAAACCAGGAAATAGATCAGAGATCAATCCTAAGAAAAGTGGTACATCGTCATATATAAATTTTGGCAAGTTCATGTCCCTAATAAGTAAAACTTATTATAAAATGTGTTAAAAATTAAGATTTTTGTTTTATATAATAATTTAATTTTTCTGATGTTACTTTTCTTTTATAAAATCATTATGGATGAAAAAAATTGAATATTGTGTATAATTTTCTTTTGTTTATGTTATGTAAGGTTAAGTAGGGTAATTTTAAATTGACATAGTTGTAAAAGAAGTTTGATACTTAAAATAAAATAAACAAATAGGAGTTTTATAAGATTATAAAAATAAACTCATTTTCATTTAAGAAGTATATTTGTTATATATTAGTGGCTGCACTGTTAAGCAGCTAGCGTCTTTGTCCCCTCTTTGATTAAGATGTCATAATGATGTAAAAAGTGTATGCTCTTATGATTTTTTAAAAATAAAGATTTTACTGTAAAACATAACTTGTTCTTTTTTTTAAAATAAGTATTATTAAAATACATAACACGGTAATTTAACGGAAAATTTTAAAAATTTTAAAAGAAAGTATGAACTATATATATCAGCTAATGACTTGGAAAATAAGTCAAATAAAATTAAAACTGCAATATTACATTCTTTTATTGGGGATGATGCTAATGAGCTGATTGATACGCCATATTGTACTATATTAAGTGGCTTAGAACAATATTTTGAACCTAAAAAAAATTTAATAATAGAACAATTCAAGTTTTTTCAAAATCAGCAAGAAGGTGAATCATTTGATCATTTCTTAATTGATCTAAGAAAGCAATCTAAAAAATGTGAATTTGGTGAATTGAACAATAATCTTTTAAGAGTGAGGATAGTTCTTGGTATTAATGACAAGAGACTTCAGGAACGGTTATTAAGAGAACCAAAATTGACTTTAGAACAGACTGTTGAGTGTTGTAGAGCTGCTGAAGCTGCTAAACAGAACCAGTCAGTAGTAATGTCAAAGGGTGATTCTAATTATTTGTCAAGTAATCCATTGGTTGATGCTGTTATTTATAATACTAAAACAGAACATTCTAAAGATTTCAACAAGTTTGATGATAAGTCAAATGGGTTACAAAGTGGTGGTCAGTCCAGTCAATCAATGAAATATAAAAATCATGACATAAATGTTTTAATGTATGATTGTAAGAAATGTGGTCGACATCATGGTCCTAGGAGTTGTCCAGCCTTCAATCAAAAATGTAAGATATGTTTAAAATTTGGTCATTTTGCTGTAGGATGTAAGTCAAGAATTGTTAAAGATAAGAGTAATTTAAGTAATAATGTAAATAATAATAGACAGGTTAGGGCTATTACTAATGAAAATAATAATAGTAGTGACCAATTATTTTTTATTAATAAAATTAATAAATGTCAGAGTTTGGTTAGAGAATCTTGGTCAGAAAATATAATTGTTGAAAATAATGTTATTAAATTTAAGCTTGATATAGGTTCTGATATAAATATTTTACCTTTGAGTATTTAAAAAAAGTTAAATAAGAATTATAATATGCTAAAATATGAGGTGAAAATACAAGCTTATGAAGGCTTTATTATTGAAGCAGTTGGCGAGATAACGTCAGAATGTATGGTTAATAATAAAAATTGTGTATTAAAATTTGTTGTTATTATTGATTTAGAGCTTGAGTGTAAAGTTGAACCATTATTAGGGTTAAGTGACTGTATGGAATTAGATTTAATTAAAAGAGTAAGTGATGTTCAGTTAAAAGAAAAATATTCAGACAAAGAGCAATTTATAAAAGAAAATGAGAGTGTGTTTCAGGGCTTGGGTAATTTTGGTGAGGAATATACTATTAGGTTAATGCCAGATTACCAATGTACAATTAAGCCACCACGTAGAGTACCTCAATCTATTCTTAAAAAGTTAGTCTTTGTCCCCTCTTTGATTAAGATATCATAATGATGTAAAAAGTGTACGCTCTTATAATATTTAAAAATAAAGATTTTACTGTAAAACATAACTTGTTCTTTTTTTTTAAATAAGTATTATTAAAATACATAACATTATTGATTTAATAATTTTTGAGCTTATCATAAAAGCATTAAGCAATTTTTATTCGTTAGATAGTTTTTAATTACATTTTTTCATAAAGTTAAAGACAAATATTACCATTGAGTTATAAATAATACTATCTATAATTTATCGATAAGTATTACAAAACTTCAATTTTAGTAAGCTTTTTACCAGTTTACTCCTGATAGATATCGTATTGTAATTTTATGCATTGATTTGGGAACATTGAAAATACTTAAAATTGCAAATTTATAATCATTATTTTATCATTTTATACCTTTTTGAATAATAAAAATTAAATTTTATAGCTGATGAGCTTCAACAGTCAGTTATATGAATGTTTTGTTTTTAAATAATAAAACGTGAGTTGAAGACTTGAAAATGAAACAGACTACAATTTGTTAATTTATGTACGAATAATTTAAGTATATAAAGTAAAAAAATCAGATACCATAACTATTTATTCACATTTATTTAGAATTAAAGGGGCTTATAATGTAAAAATTTGGAAAAAATTTTAAATGAACTTGAAGCTANTATAGTACGTTTATAATTATTTCATGTCCCCTTTATCAATTTATATAAGTATTATTTGAATTAATATATACAAGTAATATACTATTAAGCTAAATGTATAATAAACTTTTTTGTAAGTAACTAACCTTAGTGCTCTCATTAAAACTACATCTTCATCAACATTAATTGCATTACGTTTCAATTCTCCAGCCATAACTAAAACTGATTTTAAAGCTCTTAGTCCAAAATCATAATGAGACTGTTTTGAGAGTTGTTCACGAGCCAATTTATACAAAACTGTCATCTTTTTGGCTAATACTTTAGCTTGTAAAAATCCTTCAGAAAATAACATTATTAAACATATGAGTTCCAAGTCTGGTACTATACAGACGACTGGTCTAAATAATGCTTTAACTGTCTCTGGTAGTTCTGTACGACCAGCATAACCTGGATTCATAGTTATAAATATTCCTACTTTTATATCGAGTTTTATATATCCTCCTTCAAACTAAAAACATCATACAAATAATAATTTTAAAATTCAGTTTTAAATTATTAAAAGTATTTACTAAATTCCAAAAAAATATTAAAAATATTTATAAAATAGAAATACTATTCTAAATTTTTTTTTTTTGGACAATTGAAAAATAATATTTTGTACCTAACATTTAAATTTTAGAAGTGCTATTATAATTAAGATCATTTAAAAACGAAATCACCATAAATAAAAGATTTTGTTCAAGTAATGCATTTCTGATAGTTCCTAATTGGGTTGAAATTACAGATAATACAGAAATATCAATTCTATTGAATTCATCAAAACATCCCCAGGCTCCGCACTGACACAGTCCATTTAATATTTTACCAAAAGCCTGATAATCCAATCCTTCGCCACAATTTGTTACCATACATAACAAGCCCATAGCTTTAGCAAGATCTTTGGTGGTTTCCGTTTTACCCGTGCCAGCCGGCCCTAGACCATAAGAGGTTTTTTATGTATAAGAACTTACGTGTTTAATTAAAAATTACCAGCAGGTGCTCCACCCAACTGCATGGACAATGCCTGGGTAATGGTGAGGTAAATGCGATCAGTTAGTGGTGTTATGACTAAGCGACCATTTAAACCCATGTATTCATAACCATAAGAAAAAGTTCCAGAACATTGATGTACCATAAGATTATCAAGTTCTTTTTTCCAATAAAATCTCAATTGACTTTCCCAGTCAAACGCATGATTTTCCATCACACCATCACGCACAAAATTTTCAATGATATCTCTGGCATGTACATCAACTATTAAAATTGTATTGAATTTTTTACGATCGTTTTTGGTTAGATCACCCCTCACTTGTATGACCAATTCATCAAGTTGGCGATTTTGATGTTCTAAATAATCTTTCATGGCGCTTTTTTTCCCCTATGTATATATAATACATAAATAGTAGTTAATATATAAAAATACATAAAACAAAAATACAATTTAAATATAAAAGTAAATTACATCTTTAATATTCTTAAAAACATTTTCTATTTCAGCTGTCCACCAAACGCCATTGGCAACCAAACATATCATACCTTGAAAATCTAATATCCAATCACAGCGTGGTTTTCTTACAGATCCATAACAGTAAATTGCTTTTTTAGACAAAAACTTATTTGATCTCCACATCTCAATTAAAACATTATTCATCCAATTTTCAACTAAACCATCAGCATCTACTTTAGATATAAATTCCATTACTTCTTTTTCACAAGATATCATTGCAGTATTGATTATTGAATTATCTAGTGTTTTCACTTGTAGTAAACTACTAACATTATCAAACATTTTTACTATATGTTCTTGTATACTTGCAGGGTTAGAATTTCCTAATATTGATAATAATTCTTCATCTGATATAAAAAAAAATCTAGGGAAGGTGTTCCGTTTTGAATTTAAATATTCGTTTAATGATTTTTGACACATTTCTAGACTACCAAATAGTCCTTGAAATTCTTCTAAACGTCCTGGTGCTAAACATTGAATCATTACTTTAGGATTTCTCTGTGTTTCTGTCATGATCATACGAAATGTACGGTCCATATCATCAAACTTTTTTGCTTCTTCGGGCAACTGAAGTCTTATTTCGCCACCAAGAAAAATTCCTTCTAAGTAAGTCCATTTCAACTGTACTTGATACCATTCAGCAAGAACATCACTAATTACTGCTAAGTTTTTATCCCATTTTTGTACAATAGATAAAAATGGACCAATAAATCTGTAGTGAATAACACAATAGGTCATAACATAAAGCGTTATTATTTTTTAAGGATTGTATTTAATATAAAATGTTGTAGCCTAAATTGAAATTTTTGTGCTCTATTACTATAAGTTACCTTTGATGTACAATAATATGGTATAATATTTAAACTACATACTGTGATCCAGCCATACTTTGAAGAGTCAATCTATTATCTTCTAAAGTTTGATTGAGGTCTGATAAATCCCCCAAAATCAAACCTCGATATTTATCATCTTTGATGTGTTTTGTAACGTCAATCAACATATTTTCCCAAATCTATGAAACAAAATTGCGCTATTACTTTTCATTTCATTAATGTAAATAATTTTATTTATACAAACGTTTGATATTTCTGTAACTCCGCGTTCAATACTTAATTCTTTAACTGCGTTGCCTATAATTTCCATACAAATATCTTCATAATGGCCTAAATCCATTGCAAACATTTTTTCTAATGTAAACACTTCTGGGCTCATATCAAAATGTCGTCCTAAATGTAAATAATAATTTTTTTGATTTAAATATGAAAGAGTGTAACTCTGAACTTAAGTAACCTTAGAAAATCGCGTAGTACAAGAGTAGTTCAATTAAGCTCAGTTGTAGCTCTGCACTAATACTTATCGCTTATAATTTTTTTTATTTTTGACATCCCAAGACTTATAACTTTTAACATTTATATATGTACATATATATTTTAAATATCTTAAAAATACCTATATAAGCTGAAAATTTCTTAAAAAACATAATATGCAAAAAACGAAATTCTATGCTGTAAATCTCGAAGCTTTAATGGTATTTATCTCGTTTTGATATTTAGTGCAATTTTAGTACAATATCAAAGAAAAGCTTTGACAATTATATTACATATACAATTTTTTTTAGGACTATTGTAACAAAAAAAATGTAAATTATAAACTCGAGAATTTTCACACAAAAATAGCATTCGATAGCCATTTTCACCATGAGGACAAGTCTAGAGGTCAAATTTTTTTTTTTTCAAATTAAAGTATATTACATTAGCTTTAATTTAACATATATATAAAAGTGTCAGACCTTCCGGAACATTTTCAAAAGTTATGTTGAAAAAGTAAATTTGTTGTGAAAAAGTTGTCATTTTAAATCCCCCCTTGTGGGGAGATTAAGTGTCAGATTTACAAAAAAATATACCAAATGATAAGTAAAGAAATCAAGCATCTATATAAAAAAAATTATATTGATATGTTCATTTTTGAAAAAGTTAGAGCATTATAAAGTTAAAAATGTAAAAAATAAAGTCGAGAATTTTCACACAATAATAGCATTTGGTAGCTATTTTCACCGTGAAGACAAAGTAAACTCCGAATTTTTTTTTTTGCATAATAAAGTATATTACATTAGCTTTAATTTAAGATTTATATAAAAGTGTCAGACTTTCCGGAACACTTTCAAAATTTAAGTTGAAAAAGTAATTTTTTTGTGAAAAAGTTGTATTTTGAATCCCCCCCTGAAGGTAGGTAAAAAGTTAGATTTATAAAAAAATATACCAAATGATAAAAAAAAAACACATCATAGTAAAACCAATACCTTCTCAGCTTCGCATCGAAACTAAAAAATACAGTAGTAAAGCACGTTAATATATTCATGGCTACAGCGCACAGTGGTTTAAATAATTGATTTGTCTTAACTAATATCTCTTAATTAAAGTAAAAAAATCTCAAAATTGTCTATTTTTTTTTTTTTTTTTGTTTAAATAGCTGCTAAATTTAAACTTAATGTCAGTTCTTAAATTTCTCTTTATTTAGCAGTACAATAGGAGAAACATTTTTTAGACTTCATATTTCTATGAAACATTTAAAAGCATACGAGGTCTGGCTATTAAATAACGAGACTGCGCGCCTAGGAGGGGAGTATATTGAAGGGGAGCATTCGAATGTAGAATAATTTTTATAATAAAACTCTTTTTCGTAACCAGTCTTGTTATTTAATAGCCAGACCTCGTATACTTTAAGGTCATCGCTGTTTATTGGGGTAATATTAATAAATATAGTATAAATAATTTTTATGTAAGTAGATACAAGAAAAAATTATTGGATATCAAAGACATCAATAAATAAAATGAATAAAGTTACAGTATTATCTGATATAATTTAACTAAATAATAATCAAAAACAACGTCCACGTTAAGCGATCAATAAATAAACAGTAAATATAATTATATTACCTGTTTTATTCATTAGATCATTCCAATGTCGTTCACGCATAGCATCATTTTTAAGTTCAATAAATAGAGGTATCGAACTTTTAAAAACATCCATTTTTTTTTTTAATACAAGACCAACAGAAGTATTACGGAAATTTTTTGGAATTCGTTTATATTCTTTTATAAAATCTTCCATCCCATCATTTAATAATTGTGGATTTAAATCTGACCATAAAGTTTTTGCCCATACTTCTCTAGCTGTCTTTTGACGACAGTATAATTCAAAAATTAATTGCATACATTTAAAATGTTGATAAGCTGTTTCAAGTTGTTCCATATTAATTAAAGGCAATCCAAATAGTACAGCACTTTTAACTGCTTCAGAACGTTCTTCAAACATATCACTAAATTTACTATCGAATTCCTAAAAATATTGAAATTTTTTTTTTGCTCTATTTATATGTCATTAGGATATTTTACTTTTAATTTAAGGATTCCTGAATCTAAATTTGCATCTACTGTTGCTGGTCCATTTTCATAATAATCTTTTAAAAACATAGATACTCGGTTAATAAATTCGTTAGTTTGATCTTTTGCTATCCCAGTAAAACCTTTTTTGATTTCTTCCATTGAATAATTTTTACACAGCGCATCTGCATATAAATCTCTCCAATCTTTGATTAGTTTATTATATTGTTGATTAATTTCAAAAGGTATCTTTGAAAAAAGAATTACGTTCGATAAATGACTAAAAATAATTTCAATACATTATTTTACTTTTAATTTATGACTTTTCATTAAATTTAATCTGTTATCAATTTTATTAAATGTATGATCAGCAAAAAAATTCATTTTTTTAAGGTCTTTGACAGCTTGTAAGACAATTTTGAAACTTTCAACATTTCGAACATGACAATCCAGCTTTTCTCTGTAAGCCTGTTACAATTGTTATATTTATAAAACAAATTATAATTCAATATAAATTAAACGCAAATAAAATATATTTTTAGTTTTTATGGATATAAACTAAAATTTACTTGGTATTTTACCAAATACACTGTTCATTATAATATAACTTAAATAATTAAAAAAATAAGGTATTGCGAATAACAATATATAAAAAACAATAACAATAACAATATAAGTTTTCAAAGTGATTATGTTTTGATGCGTTCTTTTTACAATGTATTATGACAGCATTAAGAAAAAACGTTGTAATTTATCGATTTAAAAAATCGTAATTTTTTAAGGAATTTCCCACATTTATAGAGAACAGCGGAATAGTTCGCCAATTTCGAGGTCAATGTCTTCAATTAAATACGATAATGTGCTCTTTTGGCGTATCGTTAAAAAATTGGTTCTATAAGAGCTTAGAAAAAATAGTGACCGACACATAAAAATAAAACACATCATAGTATAATTAATGCCTTCTCAGTACTTCATCGAAATAAATATAAAAGTATGATCTTGAATTTTTTTTGTTTATTTTCATTGAAGTAATGCAATTAATTAAATATTTTTATAAAGTTCTTTAATTTCAAACCTGATTCCTCTAAAACTATAAAATAATTTAAATAATAAAACTTTAAATTATAATTGATTGTGTGTTTTGGTGAGTTACTCAACTATATTTTAATAGTATATTTTAAATTAATTATTTTATATCTAAGACTATTTTACATCATACATACAGTAATAATAGATGAAAATTCTAACATAGCAACTTTACATTCATACATCATTCGCATACCATACATAGAATGCCAAAAAGAACATTGGGATATTAATTTATTTATGTAATCAGAATAATTAATACGAATGCATCCAATATCCATGTAAGGCGTTTGTTTTTTTAATCCTTCTGAAAGACTTCGAAAAAAGTTTAACTGTCTTTTGTAGTCTTGAAGCTTAGGATTTGTTTGAGAAAACGAATCAATTACTACATTTTCTTGATTTTTAAACAAAAAATTTAACTTTTTGAGTCTAAAGAAATAGCCGGTGATTAGTAAATAGTATAAGTAAATAAATTGCATTATAAATTTAGTTACTTTTTTATAGCTTCCATCACTAAATGACCTAAATTATATGCCGAATCTTGGCATTTTTGTAATGCTCGACATACATGCTGTCGTTCTATTAAATTATCGTAATATGAAAAAAAATGAATGTTTCCAGTGAGAACATGATACGATTCCGGGCATGGTATAGTAGTGTCTTTTAGCCATCTGGGAACAACTCGTAGACACTCCAAAAAATATCGTATATTCCTTAAAATTGTATTGACTATAATAGGTATAGTAGGTAGAACCGAAAATTCATCATTATCCATTCGAGCGTGTATTACGAATATTACTCGATTACTTTGAAGTATGTTTTTAAAAGTTCTCAAATTATTTATTACCATTCTAAAAAATAGAAAAACATAAATCTAATATCAGTATTTATTATTTATAACTAATAAGACTAATTAATGACACGAATTTAATTAATTAAAGCAAAAGCAGTAACATCAGTTATGTAAGGTTACATTTTATAAGCCGATGTTTCAAAAATGAACACTAATTTTGATAATTACTAAAGTTTTTACTGGTAATAATTAGAATCATTATACTGAGGCATAAAATGAGATTTCACAAATTTTATCATACTCAACAATTCACTCAACAAATACGCCAAAAGGGCTATTATTATCTTAAACATGGAAATATTAAGTCAAATACTATAAAACGATGCAAAAATATTTCAATTTTTTTAGAACCGAAAAATGACAAAAACTATGCATACTTTAAATTACTAAAGTTCATTCCGTAAAAAATGCCTTGTGCAAATAGGAAAATAATAATTACAATATAAATGAAGAAAAAATTTTAATCAACTATGTTTAAAACACACTAGATTAATATATGGATTCTTTATGTTTAAAGAAGATCTATCATAAAATTTAACAAGTGGAATAGTATTCACAGTTCAACATATTCTTATATAATGCCTCAGCTACAAAATTAAAAAAAAAAACCTAGCATATAACACAAACCAGGCACAAAATAAACCCAACAAATAATCTAATTACTCAAAATAAATAATTTGTTTAATAAAATATAAACAAACTATTATATTTCATAGAATATCTTATAAATTATAAAATATTATAAAACCAATACAAATATTAATTTAACTCATAGTCAATGCAACCAAAGTATATAATAGAGATCAATAAAAAACATTCCTATCTCAGTACTATTTAGTCAATAATTAGTATTTGATTATTCATATTGTTAGAGTAATTTTTAAATCATCCAATTTGTATTAAATAAGATACTATATATTATAATTTTTTATTTGGTGTATACACACACAGAGGAGAGGATATAATAGAGTACATGAAGGGTATGGCTTTATAGTTAAAATGAGGCTGCAGAAATCCTGAATTTGTAGTATCGTATGACCTTACTGTAGAAAATTCTTATTTGAGAAAGAGAGAAGAACATTATATAGTTTATAAAAGTGAGAGTAATAGATCGTATATTGATTATTTTGTGTGGAAAAAAGAGAGTAAAAAATTGTAAAATTATTTCATGGAGAGTATAATTTCACAACATAGACTGATGGTAATAAAGTTATTGTACAGTGGGGAAACTATTTATAAAAATAAAAAGACAAGAGGAGAATCAAGGATCTGCTAGTGGAAATCAAAAGAGAAAAAGAAATAGAGTTTTACAAGACGGTAAAAGAGAGAACGGAGTGGAATGTCGAGAGATACATAAATGATATGTGGAATAGAAAGCTAGTTGTGTAAAGGAGATTGTTGGTGAGGTAGGAATAAGATGCCAGAATTCAAAGAAAACTGGCGGTGGGATAAAGACGTTCAAAAAACTGAGAGTAAGAAAAAGCAATTAAAAATTTAGAAAAAAATCAAAATGTGCTTGTGCAAAGAAGTCAAGAGTGCGATATGTAAGGCGAAATTTAAGAGACTTAAACTCGCCTTACAAAAGAAGGCGAAAAAAATGTATATAGACTTGAAAAAGTAAAAGAAAAAAGAACTAAAGATTATCACTATGTAAGGTATATAAAGTGATGTCAAGAGGGTTCTAACGAGCGATGAAGGTGTAAAGGTGAAAAGAGTATTTTGAAAATATCTAAATGAGGAGTATCCAAGAGAGATGTTAGAGGATATCTCGTGGAATGAGGGACTGGTAGATTTCATTAGTAAGAAAGAGGAATTGAAGACTGTGGCATCAATGAAAAAGAATAAAACAGTAGGACCAGATGAAGTGCTAGTAGAAATATGGAAAATATTAGGCAATGTTGACATAAGGTGGTTAAACGAACTTTTAAATAAAATCTAATTAGAAGAGAAAATTTCAAGTGAATGTAGGAATAGTATTGTTGTGCCGATATTTAAAGGTAAAAATGACATACAGGAGTGTGGAAATTATAGAAGCATAAAGCGTATTAGTCATAGCATGAAAATTTGGGAAAAGGTAATAAATAGGAGAATAAAAAATGAAACATTGGTACGTAAAAATCAGTTTGGATTTATGCCTGCTAAGTCAACAATGGAGCCAGTATTTTGTTTGAGGCAACTAATATAAAAGTTTAGGGAAAAGAAGAAAAATCTGTGTATGGTATTTATAGATTTGGAGAGAGTGTATGATAGAGTACCGAGATAGGTTTTAAAATGGGCATTAATGAGAAAAGGAGTCCCGAAAAGATATCTCATGGAACGAGGGACTTGTAGACTTGGCAAGAAAGAAGTATAAGAGGCTGTAGAACCAATGAAAAAAATAAATAAAGCAATAGAACTAGATAAAATGCCAGTTGAAGTATGGAAAATATTAGGTGGTGTTGGCATAAGGTAGTTGAAGGATCTTTAAATGAAATTCTATTAGAAGGGAAAATGCCATTGGAGTAATAGTATAGCGGTTCCGATATAAAAAGGCAAAGGAAATATAAAAGAGTATGGATATTAAAGGTTTAAAGCTTATAATCCATAGTATGAATACTTGGATAATGGTAATAGACATAGATAAACAGGAGAAACATCAGTACCAAAGAACCGTGTAGGTTTTTAACCTAAAAAGTCAACGATGGAACTATTTTTTTATATAATACAAAAGTATATGGAAAAGAAGAAATATCTGTGTGTGGTATAAATGAGAAAAGGTACATATATATATTAAAGAATATATATTATGGCACTTTTACCAGTGTAAAATTTGAAATTACATTAAATTTTTTGGATAAATTTTTATATCATTTTCCCTTATTTAATATCTTTAAATGAACAGAGCTTACGTTACAATTGTTTCAAATATAACGGTCTCGTATTTTTTGTATAATAAAGATAGATTTTTATTACGGCCTGTTTGAACTCCATAGCAAATATATTCTATCAAACTAATTATTCTTGGAATAGTTCTTGTTGATTTCATAATATGAGAAATATTCATATTGCTTAATGCTTCAGTTTGATCGTAAATTTTCTATTTCATTATATTATTATTCGATTAATTAATTTGATAATTTTACATTACATTTCTATAAGAAGTTATTTTTGATATTTTTAAAAAATATATTGTTTAGTCAAATTATATTACGATTTAAATATAAAATAATATATTCATATTAATATTGAATATGAAAAACGATTACTGTTTTCCAAAGCAGATTTTTACTTTTTTGGGGATATATACATTTATTACACGTGATCTCATTCATAATAAGTTATTGATTTTAAGAATTCAAATTTTTATTATTATATTATCCTTAATGTAAATTAAAAAGTAATTGTTAAGATAAAAAATATTACTAAAAAAGTGTTAAGCACAAGCATCTAAAAATATTCATTTCTACGCATGAATTTTTTTAGAAATATTTAACAACTATTAGATTTGCTATTCATTTAATAATAGGTCTATTTTTAGTAATTTACCAGAAATTCTTGAATATTTTCATTAGTTCCGATTGGCAAAAATATTAAATCTTTCAAGGAATCTATATTTTTTACAATTTTCTGTTCTGCCTATTTTAAATAAAGTTATTTTAAATAAAAACAAAGTATTTTTAAATTAGCTGCAAATCTTTACCAATTTAATTCTTTTTAAAACTGTACTCATATATGCTATTCGGTGGATTGCACTATTCGTAAATTCAGATAAATTCATTGTTAAACAACTATATCGATTCATAGCTGGACGAAGACTGTAATGTAGTGAACTTAAATGTTGTTTCATTGCAGTGTACTTTTTTTGGCAAACAAAAATAAACACTTAATTAAATTAGTTTGTTTATAATATTATATTAAAGCTGCATACTTCAAAAATATTCATTTTATTTATCAATTCACGAACATTTTCAACCAAACATTCAATATTGGTTACATTAATTTTTATCTGTTTTAATAGCATAATCAAGTATTTTATACTATCTGGTAAATCAAATCCCATTAAATTCATTTGTACAGCTTCATCTATGACACCATACAATTCTTTCTAAAATTATTATACTAAATTCTTTTTCTTAAATCAGTAATTTATTTTCATACATCAAATTTACACTTAAATATTTTGGTATTTTCATCAAAAAATAATAATGTGTCTCTTGTTTTATTTTGTTCAATTTCTAAAGCATAATTCATCCATTTTTTAAACTCATTGGTTTGAAACTCAAATAGTTCTTTAGATACTCGAATATAAATTGAAAAATCCTAAAGAAATATTAAATAAACAATATAATATATTGGTATAAAACCATTATTAAAAATTATAAAGATATTTATAAAATATTCAATTAAACCTGTTGTGATATTCTTTCATCGTATTGAATCACGTCAGTAAGTAGCATTGCTGTTTTTTTTGCTCTAAGATGTAATTCTTGAACAAATATTAATTTTCCTGATATTGAAGGTTGATCTTTAGGTAAGTGTGTAAAATTTTTAGCACTCTAAATAAAAATAGTATAATTATAACAACCGATATTAATTGGAAAAATATTTAAGGTCAATTAATAAAATATTAAGGAAAAGAATATAAAACAATTATCTGTCCACTAATTTTATTACAAATTTGCAAATTAGAAAGCCTTTCAAAATGATTAATAACCTTTTTGACTAAAAACTAGTGATAAAAAAACTAGTAAATTATTCTCACATCAAAAATATATTTTATTTCATTCATTTCACTTTTAAATTTTTCAATGATAACTGGATACTTTTGTGACAAACGTTTATGCATTGTTTCTCTAGTATTCATATTTTCAAAAATTTTAAGAGCTATGAAACCTTTTGCAGCGCTGCGCAATCTTGAAAAACATAGATCAATGTAAGTATTTGCTTGTTGCTCCATTTCTGAAACTCTAAGGAAAAATTTATTAACAATTTGCTTCCATGTTTCTTTTTCATCCTGGTGGTAAACATTGAAGTCGATATCAAAAAATTCTCCAGTGAGACCTTCCATTAGAACAGAGCTTGCAAGAGGCATTTGGGTAACTATGGATTTCATTTCAGGTCCAAACACAACTGTGAATTGTCCAATAATCTTGAAGTTAAATTTTAAATTACTTTTACAGTATGATTATAATTAAATATATCTTTACCTGTAAAATTATTTTTAAGTCATTTACTACGTATCGAACGTGATCGATTTGATCAAATAATATATCTTTTTTAAATTCCCATCTTCTAAATATTGCTGTTTTCTCTATTTCTGATCGGAATTTATAGTAGTAATCCTTCCATTTATCTATCATTGCTATAACATCGTTAACCGTTTCTAGTGTATTTTCAACATTCATACTAAACTATCAAACTGTTTATAAAAATGCATTTCTTCCTAATTTTACAATTATTATGCATACTTAAAAACATTTGGAATATGAAGTTCTATAGAAACTCTATCTGAAAGACATTCAGATATTGACCGAAAAATTCGTTCCATTTGTTTATCTTCACCAAAAAAACACGATACACTCCACAAACGTTTTAAATTATCATAAAGATAAGGAATATTTCTCGCAATGTTAGAAAAGGAAGCATTAGCTAATTCCTATAAAAAGTATGTGAACGAAGTTAGATTTTTTTTTTAATTATTAAGAATATTTACACACATGAAACCTTTCATAACACTGAATCATGCACGTGTAGTTGACTTTAATTGTTTTTTTAAATACGGTCATTAAGTTTTGTAGCGCTGAATTAAACTCTCCCAGAGTATAACGTACCGTACCATTTTCAATATTTTCTTGCATAATTTCAATATTTTTTTTTACTTCTTTGCTTTTAGATTGATCTATTATCTTTGTAAATGACAAATATCTGTGACTCCAAAACTCATATTCTAATAGTGGACTCTTGAAAATAATTTTGCATTTCTATCAAAGTAAAATTTATTTTACTGAACATTACATAAACAATTTAACATAAAAATATAAAAATAATAATTTTGCGGATTAAGAAACTACAAACATCAACAGTAAAATACATAAAATTTAAATGAGAGTTTTAATTTTTGAAATGAACATTAAAATTACTCCAAGTTTATATTTTAGAATAACCTACGAATGTAATCTACTAAACATTTTTTTTAAATCCAATTATTAACCAAAAGAAAAGCTAACCAAAATTACGTTTTTTAATAATTATTTTAAAGTTTTTTTTGCATAGCGACGGGTCATTTACATCATTCAATACTCAATAAAATTTAAGGTTTTCCTATGTATAATCAATCGGATAAACCGATTTAACTATTTGAATAATACTGGATCAAAATAAAATATTTAATAATAATATTTAACACAATTATCTTTATTATATATTGACATACTTCTTTTAAAAATATGATCATTAACCAAAATTCTGTTGGGGCTTGTACCAAATATCAAAGTATTTTTTTTTCAAATTTTAATTATGTTCTAAAACACCTACCTTCTTTAAACATGCGTTAAACTAAAGGTAATACAATATACTTTAATATGAAATGAGAAAAACTACTCGAAATCATGAATTCTAGGATTTATTGTGCATTCCATCAATAAATCATATAAATTTTGGTAATAACTACTCGTTTTGAAATGTTTTCTATAGTAATAGAACATCTACACTATTAAAAGCTAAATAAACTTCAGATTTTTTTATTATAAATTGTATATTTCATCATATTATTAAATTTTAACAGTGATTACATAAGAATAATAAAATGCAAATTATATCAAACACATGTGTCGATTTTATTTTGATTTGTAAACCGTCTACACTACTTCTTTTTATATTTTTCACTAAACAAACCATAATTAAGATTACCCCCAAATTCAAAAACTCTTACAGAATTAGTCGAGAGGTATGACAAATTTCCAAATATCAATCAATACTAGAATAAAAACTCCTCTTCACTGGATCTCTAGTATTTTTTTAAATTTTTTTATAAGCTACTGAAATATGCACATTACCATAAAAAAAATGTTTTTTTATTTAGCTAGAATATAAATTTATAACTATTGCCAAATAATATGATTCAATTATTTAAACTAATTACCTCTATATCTTTGATCATTTTCAATTCTAAATGAATCGTTTCAGACCATGATATCATTAACTGCATTAAATTTTTTATTTGGACACGACTTAGCTCCTTAGTATTTATACTATCATCTACAATCCAAACTAACTCCGCTGAAATGTCTAGTGGAAATTTATCCATACTACTAAAGGTAAATATTAATGTTTAATTATAGGAAACATTCAATTTACAAAAATTGTAACTATTCGGGAAACTAAAAATACGATTATTTTTTATTCGTCAATTTAAGATAGGCTACTTGGGCATTAGTATCAACTATTTATTCAAATAATTTTATTATGTTATAAATTAAAAATATTTTAATTGTCATTCGTAAAATTAATTTAAATATCATAAATATGGAAGTACCATTATATAATATATTAAATATATACTCTAATGAGAATTTTCGTTTTTTTGTAATTTAAGGTTTTTATTATAGCATGTTTCTATAAGTAGAAAATTTGCGGAATTTTTCGAGAAAATATTTAAAAGTTTTAAATAATGAAATAAAAACCTTTTTTTAGAGCGTGAATCATTAAAAATTGTTAGAAAAATCAAAAACAATTTTTTTAGCAAAGTAGACTCTTAATATATAAGTGTTTATTAAGTAAGGGAACAGCTTTCTATTGTTTTCATTGTTTGTATCAATTATATGTTTCCTTACTTACTGAACCAGGGGTATCGGATCTATTTTTACATATTTTTTTTCCACGACCGGCATTATTGTGGGCCGCCAAAAAACTGCCTTGTTGCATTACTTCAGGGCGGGCCAGAACTGTTTTTTACATGGGAGGGCAAAAATTTAATGACCCGGATCACCTTGGTTGTTACTAAGCTAAAAAGCTTTTTTTGTTAGATATTAGTGATCATATAAAAAAAATCCGGTAATATATAAATTTTACTCTTAATAATACATATTATTAGCTACAATGCGATGTTGAGAAAATATTAATTTTAACATTATGTGTTTATTTATTTTTTTATTTTTTATGTCTGTCACTACTTTTTCTCAGCTCTCACTGGACGAATTTTTCTCAATCATACGTCCAAAGAAATCGTATCTAGTTGAAGACATTAACCTTAAAAATAAAAATTTATCCTCGTTCCCTGTAAATGATAAAAATCCCTCAACAAATTACGATTTTTAAAATTTTGACATTTTTTTCTAAACACTGTCCTCATAACTTTTTCAAAAATTAATAAATCAAAATAATCTTTTTTTATTTTATAGAATATTTTTGAAAATCTGACCCGTAACCTGTCCATAAGAGGGGATTTAAAATAGAAACTTTTTTACAAATGTCAACTTTTTCAACTTAAGCTTCAAAATGTTCTGGAAACATATCAAATTAAAGCTTGTTATTTATTATAAATTAAAAAAAAAATTGACCTGACGACCTATGTTCTTTATGCAAATGGCTATCGTAGTTAAAAAACATGCTATTTTTGTGTTCAAATTTTATTTTATTTTTTTGTTTATTTTATAAGGGTTAGTCATAGTGAGTACGCCAATAAATATAATATTTACATGAATCTAACTTACATTAAATATAAATTTATACTTATTTATATTTTTTTCCTCTTCAAATTTAAGAAAAGTCTTTTTGAATTTTTTTTAATGAATGAAATAGGAGTTAATTTAACTTTTAAAATAATCCACCAATTTCTTAAAATTAAACATTATCTACAGATTAGCATCGAAGCGTTTTTTATGATAGTACTTTTAATCACTGTCAGATTAAATCTATATTGGACCCAAATATACCACGTCCCCATTGGGCCACCTATTCTTCTGTACTGGTTTTTTTATTTATTTTTCAAATAATCAAGTAGTTTATGATAAACCCACTGTGCTGGTTTAATGTTTTTTTTTTTTTTTTATAAAAAAATTATTAAGGACAGGATTTAGAAAAAGTTTGTTTCATATAAGAAATTATATGAAACTTGCACGCCAAAATACTATAAACGTCCAACGACTTCACTGTGGCTACTGTTTTTTTAATATTCAACTGGAGTTAGGTAAACTCATTAACACTTTTTAATATTAAAATCAAAAATCGAAAAGCTAAATAATTAAGTATGGTAATATTATATTAATTTCCAGATTCATTGTAATTTTTTTTTTTCAGGTTCTATTGGAGGGGCATAATGATACTTTTGCCACCTCGTATTTTGACCAAAGGGACAACTACCCACCGGCCCCTTGGTTCCTGAGCCACTGTAGTGAAACACTCTGTATGTATAAAACCATGCAAGCAAAATTCTAAGAATATTACAAAAAAAAAAAATAATAAATAGAACTATGTTTATTAATTATCTCTGCAGAGTTATTTTTTTAACATAACTCACTCAATTACTTACAGAATAAAAATAAATAAAACATTTTTTTTTTTGGTTATCTTTAGTTACACATTATTCTTGAATTATTAACTACGTAATACTTATTACAAATTGGCTAATTGGTTTATTATGACGTCAATATTCGCAGGTACACGGTATTCATTAATAATGGTAGTAAGGGGCATTATTGTGAGTTTATAATTACACTAACTGGCAAAGTATGTCTATTGATAATTATAATTCACAATAAACATTCCATGACTGTGAAAGCGGTGCCGTAAAAAATCAATTAACTACCTGTATTTGAAATTCTTTTTGTATATTAACTCAAACATTTTTAACTTAAAAAATGTATAATTAATAAACGAATATAAAAAATCAAATCCCATTTACTATTAAATTAAAAACTCATACATATTATTAAATTCAAAAAATGTGTTCCCTTTTAAAAAAACAAAGTTGCACCCTTACAAGGCATAAGGGATGAACTTAAAAAGTATATTAGTAAGTTATGATAAAAAAATCACCCTATATAATTAATAAAAAACTTATTTGGGGGATACAAATTTTTTATTAAGTGGAAGTTTGAGTATTAAAAGATGAGTGAGAAATAGATGAATTTTTAAAATAGTAGTTAACAAGCTTAAGATAAAAATTGGTTTCATATCTCTGTGTAGGGCTCAGGAGCCAATCCAATTAAATCCAATTTTTTTTAAATCACTTTTTTTTTTTAAGTATCTACTTTATTAATCCAACTTCTTCTTCCTCGCCTTAATCCCAACTACTTGATGAGTTTGAAAACTACTTTGTCAAACTGATACTCTATATACTCTGTCTTACTTCTACTTATTCTTAAACCCCTTTTTTCAAGAGCTTATCTCCACACCTCTAGTTATTGATTAATTTCCTCCTTATTTTCTACCATCAACACTATATTGTCAGCAAACAACATGCACTACGGCACCTCTCCTTGTATTTCTATAATAATTTCATCCATCACTATAGAGAATAAGTAAGGGTTTAAAGCAGAACCTTGCTGCACTATTACTCTTACCCGAAAACCTTCCATTACTCCTCCTACGCTTTTTACTCTGGTACAAGTGTCATCATACATATCATACATTATATTAATGTACCTTTTCGGGACTCCTTTTCTCATTAATGCCTACTTTAGAACCTCTCTCGGTACTCTATCATAGCTTTTCCCAAATTTTCATACTATAACTCATACGCTTTATGCCTCTATAGATTCCACACTCCTGTATGTCATCTTTACCTTTAAATATCGACACCACAATACTATTCCTCCATTCATTTGGAATTTTCCTTTCTAATAAGAATTTATTTAAAAGTTCTTTCAACCACCTTATGCCAACACCGCCAAAT